GCACCCCCACTCTGTGCTCAGGCTTCCCTTGACCTACTTAATCCTGTGAACCCTTCTCTCACCCCAGCATTCACTCTGAGGTGACGGGCTGGGAAGGTCTGGACAGGGAACCAGGCTGAGAGGGCAGTAAAGCAGACAGCAGCCACTGGGGGCCTGCATGGGACACCCTCTTGCTCCGCAAATAAGTAAAATTATATTGTATGACTTACCTGTACAAAGACAAATACATATTACCTACAACCTCCTCTTCAAACTGAAAGCTTGAGATTTTTTTTTTCCTTCCCATTTTCATTTTGAAGGAAATGAGCATCAAAGCACTTCCTAGAGCGGATCACAGTGTCCTGGGTCTGTTCCACTGTGCAGTGCGGCTCTGGAAGACAGTGGCAGCTGATCACAGTGTCCTGGCTCTGTTCCACTGTGGAGTGCGGCTCTGGAAGACAGTGGCAGCCGATCACAGTGTCCTGGCTCTGTTCCACTGTGCAGTGCGGCTCTGGAAGACAGTGGCAGCCGATCACAGTGTCCTGGCTCTGTTCCACTGTGGAGTGCGGCCCTGGAAGACAGTGGCAGCCGATCACAGTGTCCTGGCTCTGTTCCACTGTGGAGTGCGGCCCTGGAAGGCAGTGGCAGCCGATCACAGTGTCCTGGCTCTGTTCCACTGTGCAGTGCGGCCCTGGAAGGCAGTGGCAGCCGATCACAGTGTCCTGGCTCTGTTCCACTGTGCAGTGCGGCCCTGGAAGGCAGTGGCTAGCCTCAGTGAGTTGGTAGTCTATTTCAGACTTGCTGTCATGAGCTCAGCCCCGACTGTATGGGGTGATATGGATTCCCCTCCTGCAGAGCTCCAGCCCTTTGGTGGTAGAAAGAAAATGGTCCCCATAGGGAGTGGCACTATTAGGAGACGTGACTTTGTTCTGGTAGGTACAGCCTTGTTGGGGGAAGTGTGTCACTGTGGAAGCAGGGTTTTGGGGTCTCACATATACTTAAGCCACGCCCAGTGTCTCAGACCATTTCCTGTTGCCTATGCAAGATGTAGAACTCTCAGCTACCTCTCCAACACCATGTCTGCGTGCACGCTGCCATGTCCCCCCATGACAATAATGGACTAAACCTCTGAAACTGTAAGCCACCTAATTAAATGTTTTCCTTTATAAGAGTTGCCGTGGTTATGGTGTCTGTCTCTTCACAGCAATAGAAACCCTACCGAAGACATTCCCAGACCCCAGATTAGGCACAAACCACACCCAAACACCTGTTTCCACAGAGAGATCCTTTATTAAGTGGAAAAATTAAAGTGGCTGCTCTCTGACTCAGGCAGGAAAACAGCAGCACATGACCATCATGTGTAACTTTAAGAGAAGAAAAGGGAGGTCTGTGTTACAATGGGCCAGGATGCAGCAGTAAAGGAGACAGGATGAGGGAGAAGGGGAACCTGAATAAACTGAGCTTGTTGTTTCGACATTCTCCCGGAGTCTGTGTGGTTTGACTCTGCGCCTGCTTGGCCCCTGCCCCCAAAGGGAACAACAGCAAGGACCCTGCTACATTCCAGCACATCCATGATGGCTCACAATCATCTGTTACTCAAATACCAGGGGACCTGACACCCTCTTCTGGCCTCTGTGGGCACTGCATACATACACATGGCACAGAGACATATCTAGGCACTGGTACATAAAATAAAAATAAGCTGGGCAGTGGTGGCGTACGCCTTTAATTCCAGCACTCGGGGGGGTGGGGGGGTGGGGGGGGCAGAGACAGGCGGATCTCTGTGAGTTCGAGGTCAGCCTGGTCTACAGAGCGTGATCCAGGACAGGCACCAAAAGTACACAGAGAAACCTTGTCTCAAAAAATAAATAAATAAACAAAATAAAAAAAAAATAAGACTTGGGCTTGAGATGTTGGATCCTTAGCACTGAGAAAACAAAATAAGAACTTAAAGTATGGGCTGGGATGGAGCTCACGTCTGTTGTATTTTAAAGACAGCTGGAAGGAGTCACACCACACAACAGGGCCCATGTAGGAGGTTTACTGAAGGGAGGGCAGAGAAGGGGGCAGAGACTGGTCCCTGGGGACACGAGAGTGGAGGAAGAGAGAGAGAAGCCGGGAGGTGAGCAAGGCCCGCCTTTTTTTGGCGAATGAGCATAGGGAGTGCTCTTAGTGGCTGCAGCTGAGGCTATATCCTGTCAGGACCCTAAGGGCAGGCCAGTACAGATGCCTGAATGCTAACAACTCTCCTTGTTCCCTATTAACCCTTAACTGTGCATAAATTCTCAGAAAGGGTGGGGTCCCATGAACCCCTCCTTGCCTTCATGACCGGATGTTGACAGGCCCCACCTCTCTTGTTAAACGATGCTGAAATACACCTAACACGCACTGTTCCATCCCGACCACGTTCAAGTGTGTGCAGGCAGCAAGGGCTTTCACGCTTCTGTGCCGCCAACGGCACTCTTCCCCAGGACTCTCGCCAAACGAATCCCGTGTCCATTAATCAATGACCTTCTGCATCCTCCTTCCCCAGATCCAGGCTGCCACTCTGCTATGCTGTGTCCCTTCAGACTCCAGGGACCTCCTGTAAGTGGAATCCCGTGGTATTATTCTTTTTGTAACTGGTTTATTTCATTAACACCATGTCTTCAAATGTCCATCCTCATTATGCCAAGTATTGGGATTTCCTCCTTTTTCCAGGCAGAATTATAGCCTATTGTGTGGTTAGATCATTCAGCGTTTATCATGGGAGGCTGTTTCTTGTCTACTGTGGCATGGAAGCATCCAGAACCACGGTGGTACATAGGAGGCACTTACCTCATGCTAAAAAGGATGATTTCAATGAAATAATCTACCTGAAGCATTCTTCTAGGCAATACAAAGCCTTTTAGAAATACCAGTAAGTGCCATGACCAGCTGTCCCCCTTCTAACTTGATTCATGTCCATGAGACTGTGGTCTTGGGAATATGGAGGCCACACAGAGCTGAGTAGACCCGACCAGACAGGATTCAGCATTGATAGAGCATCTGAGTTTATGCCTGTAAGATGCTCCACCCCTAGCTGACCAGAAGACTCTCTGAGGAGCCACTTCTAGGAGCCGGGAGGTTCTCCCCTGTGGCTTTCTGGAGACAAGCCAGGTGGGAACTCCTGGGTTGTTAGCTGCTCTTGCTACCTTGGCCTTACTTACTTGGGGAATCCTCTGCTCTCCTCAGAACAGAGTCAACACTGAGAAGACGAAAGACAACAGAGGCATCCATCAGCATGACATAAAGTGAAGAAGACAGAGGGCCACCCACCCATGACCCTTGCAGCTCCCACTCTACACCTGCAGAAAGCCCAGGCCTTTAAATGGGCCATTTTTATTCCAGGAACGAGCAATCACTTGCAGTTTCTCTTTGAACAGGTTACAGGAGATGAAGATTTGGTGTCCTAAACACGGGCAGCCAGCTCTCTCCCTCCCCACTCTCCTCTTCTTCCTTTTTTGTTTATGTGAATGTGTGTGTGTGCATGTTCCCGTGTGTGCAGATACATGTGTTATATCTGTGCACATGTGTGTGCGTGCATATGGAGGCCAAAGGACAGCTTCAGATGATACTTCTCATGAGCTGTCCACCTTGTTGTTGGAGACAGTCTCACTTGCTTGGGGCTTGTCGCTGGTTGGCTAGGGCAGGCAGGACAGCGGGTACTAGAATTCTCTTTCCTGCTTCCCTGGCACTGGGATTACAAGTGTGCGCCTCTGCACCGAGCCTTGGTACACGACTTCTGAGGATCCCACTCGGGTCCTTGTGCTTATGCAATAGGCACTTTTCCAACTGAGCCGATGCCCCAGCCCCCGGCACCCCTTCCTCCTCCTCGTCACATGTTCATGGCCAAAAGGCAGGCCCCAAGATGGCCCTGGTACCAGATGCACCCTCGGCTGCAGCACAGAGGCAGTGGCCACTATTGCAAGCCACCAGGACCTGCGAGGGAACACAGGAAGGAAGCTGTTAAACTTTCCACAAAAAAGCCAAGAACGTTTAACCCCCAGTTGGAGCCTCATGGTCTGAAAATGTGATGGGGTCTGCTCTGTCTTCTGCTGTCATATTTGGACAGCTCAGCACAGCAGCCTTTGACACGAAGTAATAATTGTCAGAAGAGGGTCAGGGCTTCACCAGCTGGGAAAACACAAGAGCGCCCCTTTAGAGGAAACGGGGGCCTGTCCATTAGCAGGTCAGGGAACTCACCCTGCTAGCATTTGCGTCCTTTCTGCCTCATCGAGACATCTGACGTGGGTGACACCTCTCTGCGCTCACCCTGACAGGGAAAGGGGCTGGTGATATGCCCACCCTCCTGCTGAATGCTGCCTTGCAGATGAGTCTAAATACCACAATGGTTCTAATAAATAATAGAAGGCAATCTGCAGTTACTGGAAACATCAGGCAAGAGCACCCACGAAATGAATCATACAGGATCTCCTCCATGAGAGCTGCTCCTGTGAGGGTGCAGAACCCTCGGCTGTCAGTGCTTATGCATGTGTGCATGATGTATTCAGGCATGCGTCCATATCTGCAATGATGTCTTGATGAGCAAACACTTGGGCTTAAAATAGAAGTCAGTCTTCAGTCGTCAGTATAAGAAAAGATGCTATGAGAATACATGTTTTTAAAGGTGTTCAGGTAGCTTCCACATCTTCAATAGTATTCCTGTGTGCCACAAAACACATTGTGGAATTTGTTGTAAAAGCTGAGACACACCGCAGACCCTGCAGAGATTCACAATATAAAGTCCAGCAACAGAGAATAGTAAGTACTGCTTACCCAGCACAGGGGACCCTGGGTCAGGGACCAGGGACTGTGTCTTTGCATGACACTGATGGGCGATGATCTGTACGGGTCAGGAAGTCAGGTCTTTTCACTGCCCTTCCTGAGCCCTTTCCAGCTCCCTAGGCCTGAGAGAGGCGAACCCCAGAGATTGAGCGGGGTAAGGGGGTATGTGGGCGGGGGGGGGGGGGGGTGTCGGGAGCTGGTTATGCTTGTTGGTTGTGAGTCTAGACAATTAAACGCTTTCTCCCCAGCTCCTCCTGAGCGTGGCTGAGGCAGATGAGAAGAACTGGAACCCTCAGTTCATTATATTCTCTCATTCTCATCACATAAAGAAAAGGCAGTGGGTGGGGGGTGACAGGCAGTGTGAAGAAGAAAATGCATCAGACACCGTCCTTTGAAAAACAGGAATTTGCTTTTTTTTTTTTTAATCAAATTAGTACTACAGTGTGCTGACTCTGAGGAATCTGCTTTGTTTACTTACTACATCATGGAGAAAGGCTTGGGAGGGGACTCCGTGGAGAAGTACTTGCCTTGCATATGCAGATCCTCCTTCAGTATCCTCCCCTCAGTGCCAGAAGGAAAGAATTCTCACATGCCAGGCCCACTGAGAAAACAGATCACAAAGATACTTCTCCAAGTGCTAAACAGACCTCTTTATTGAAGAAACACCGCTGTATTGAAGTACAGTCAATGCCTTTATTTATTTCTGTGTGTGGCAGATGGGTGACACATGTACATGTATGTGCATGTACCCACAAATGCACAGGTGCCGACACCAGAGCAAGCCATCACGTGTGTCTTTGCCTATCACTCCCATCCTTACTGCTTCAGCACAGGATCTCTCACTGGACGGGAGGCTCTGGACTTGTCAACTGGTCTCTGACAGGGTGCTATGAACAGTCACTAAGAAAAAGACAGTCTCTCTCTTGAACATCTGGTCTTGAGAAAACTGGACAGCCAAATGAAGAATTGTGAAATTGAACCCCAGTTTTATGCCATTCTCCCCAAAATAACAACAATGGGTTAAAGAGCTAAAGTATAAAAATTCCTGAAATTACAGGGGAGAAACGTGTTGACATTTGTCTTTGCAATGATTTCCTACACATGACCAAAAAGAAGCAGGACTATGTGAGGCCAAATGTTCCACACAACACAGAAACAGCTGGCAGTGAAAACAGCCTACAGGATGTGAGGAAATATTTGCAGACCACTTAGACTACCCAAAATACACAAGCACTCCTTCAACACAACTGCAAACAGCGACAACAAACATTTGATAAAACACCAAATAACCCAACTCAAAAGTGGGCTAAGGATCGCTCCATGGAAGGCATGTGATGTATGGGCAAAAGACAGGTGTTCAACACCATTCAACCCCAAGGAAATGCTAAACAGTTTTCTAAAACATAATACTTAATAATGTCATGCTTTTCTATATTGTGGGTAAATTCCACAGTTTTTAGCCTGGTATTTCAGTTATCAATTTATCATCTAACTGCTCCAAATTCCCCCTTTAAGGACCTGATCTGTGGCAGCTGGAAGGTCTCGTGAACCAGTCCCCTTTATCATAAGGGCAATGCTTAGATCCGCCAGTAGAGGTCAGGAGAGGGAAGGGACACTGCATATTTTACTACGTGGGCTGCTTCTATGATGCTCCTGCTGTCCTGCTGGTGGTTGGTGCCTATGCATAGTTGGGGTCATGTAGAGAACACCTTGTGGCATTCTGCCCTAGCACACAAGCGGTTTCAGGCCCTTGGACCTTCTTAATGACTACCCTGCTGAAGGTCTCTCTACACAGACACCAGTATGCTCCAAGCCTCAGGCCAGCAGCTACGCCTTGACCTCTCTATGCACCTTGCTTAACCCTGTACCCAAAGACTGTTGCTGTAGCCTGTGACCTGGCTCAGTTCTGGCCAAGACCACCCTGAAGAGTGTGTTGCCTAGTGTCCTACAACCAAGCTTTCCTGGATGAGAGAGCCCCTTCATTGTGGTTTGAATACAGAATGCGTTCCACAGGCTCATGTGTTGAACACTTGCTGTCCACCTTGTGGCATTGTGTTGGCAGAAGGTAGAAACTTTATGGGGTGGGGTCTAGTTGGAGCAAGTAGGTCCTCTGGGTCATGCTCGGGATGATATACCTGGCTCATGATCCCATTTGCAATTTCTCTGCTTCCTGGCCTCCATGGTGTGATGTGCTGGATTTCGCACACCTGCCCCTTCATGGTAGACTGACACTTCTGAAGCCACAAGTGGAAGAAATCTTTCTCCCCCTGTACTGTTTGTGCTGGTAGTCTATCACATGGGTGTAAATCTAACTCATGCACATCCCCTCTAAGTTTGCCCTTCCCTGTGCACTTTCCTGGCCCTAGGGTGCCCACTAGGCTCCTCTTTCCATGCTTACAGTTACCTCTCTTGCTGCTCAATAGTGCTTTAGAGGTGTCTTCCCCTTGTTCAAATCGTTTTATGGTTTCTGCCTCCTGACTGGACCCACATGGATACTGCAGCAAGGACCGTGATTCAGGCATTGTCCTAGGAATTCAATGTTGGACAGAAAAAAACCCACACTAGAATGAAGCATGTACTGATTCAAATAGCTGGTCCTTGCTGGGCAGCTCTAGGGAGGGACTTGGTCACTGAGGAATCTTTACTAACAGCTATGAAATAACTCAGGAATCATACAGTCCCCTGGCAGGTACCCCTATAGTCACTGTCCGACAGACCGAGCAATGACAGAGGGCAGCTAAAGGTTCAAAGCGACAGGAGACAAGAATTCTGGAAGGCAGACCTGCACTATGCATCTCTCCTGCCCTCTTGCTACAGTCAGACAGAAACATCCCTTTTCCTCCTAAACATGGGGATTGAGACTTCTCTGCATTAGAGACAGCTGAACTCCCATGTTGTAACAAAGATTCAGAGATTCAGAGAATGGAAGACACAGGTCCCAGAACTTAGAAAGAGAACTCATGCCAGACAGTTAACAAAGTTCAGAATATTGAATCTGGAAGGCTCTGTGTGACACATTCGCTGATTCTATTGAGAGAAAAATGATCTTCCCAAAACAATGGGAAGAGACAGACCGGTCAGCCCATGTCTGTGAAGGGCAGACATCCTCTGTCCTATTACCAAGGGGTAGATATATCATTCAACTCTTTTCACCATAGATTGTAAGATGAATAACACAATATGACTAGCCCTCAGGCTTCTGTGCGGCTTTGTGTCTTACCTTCATAAATCAGGAACAATGAAGTCACATCTGGACGTGGGAGACTCAATCTACTGTGGCCTCCTGCCAGGGGCTTCCTGTTTAGTGTGAGGCTGGAGAAAGAAACAAAGGTTGGCAATAGCACCAGAGAATGAATGGTGGTGGGCCAGAGACCAGAGGACACAGCCTCCCTGATCTATCGTCTGAGGTCAGCCACTGTAGAAGACGACTTCAGGACCCCGTGTGAAGGTGGAGACTTCTGATGTTCTCTGTTCGTGGACATAACAGGAGTTCTTGTTTCCTAACTAACACAGAATGGGGTGTGGGAGTGCTCTGAGGCTGGAAACCCAATATAAAAGTACAGTCAGGGTCTGTTCCTTCTAATGACTGGAGCAAGGACCTGTTGTATGCCTTTCCCCTTGCCTCGGGAATTGCTTGGCATGCATATCTCTTCCCTCTTGCTCACATGGCCTCTGTGTGTGTGTGTGTGTGTGTGTGTGTGTGTGTGTGTGTGTGTGTGTGCGCGCGCACTTGTATATTCAAGTTCCGCTTTTTAAAAGGACACGTCATATAACACTCCCCTCCACTATTAACGGCTTCATTTTAACTTATCACATCTGGAAAGAACCTTTCTCCAAACAGCCACATGCCAAGGTACTGAGTTGAAGACACCAGGGTAAGAGTTTGGGATAACACAAGTTAACCCACTAAGGAGGGAGGTAGCAGTGGCCCCACCATCACTGCTCACAAACACTGAGAGTTATGGGATGGGGGTGCTGCAGGACACACACAGTGCTTGCCACTATTGAACCCTAACACTGTGTTTGGAGACAGACCTTTTAGGGAGTTACGGAAAACAAGGCCGTGTGCAAGGGCCCCAATCAGACAGCCGGTGACCTTGCAAGGAGACAATCAGCCGGTGTCTCAATCTTAGGTTTTCTCTGCAATCCTGAGAAATAAATGCTTGATGCTCAAGCCTCCAAGACTGCGGCATCTGGCTGCAGAGGCCTAAACAGACTTAGAAGACAGAAGAGACCAACATTCCCAAGAGAGGGGGCCGCTGGCTTTGCTGGCACTCTCACTGGAAGAGGATCTCTGGGGAAGGAAGGGGACTTGACAATTTATTCACACGGCATAGACGGGGGATACTTCAGAGCAGGCAGGGGTGAGGAGAGAGAAAATGCCCTGGAGAGGCACATTTTGCACGCTGGAAAAGAGATCTGGGGGAGCCTGGAGACGAGTTTGCACCTTCTCCCAGGCCTGCGTGGATTTGTAATTGGCTGCCAGGCTGCTTCTGCTGCCCGTGATGGGTCAGGCCAGTACACCTTCCCACCTGCTGCAGAATTACACACCCTGGCCTGGTGCAAAATGCTATTGCCACAGAGTGATCACGGCTCCCTCTCTCCGCTCTGGGTGTGGGGATGGCGAAAGATGGGGAGCAGCAATAGCGAGCAGAAGTCTGCTTCCAAGCTTTGGGGATCAATGTATTCCCTTGTGTGAGAATGCCTAATAAGTGCTTCCATGTGTGTGTATCTGATTTTAAATGAAATGAATTTCCTACTGTGAACGCCAATGACAGAGCACATTCAATAAGGCTCTAGCCTTCCTCTCTACTTTCCTGGGGACGGCAACAGGAAGGATCAACTCAGCTTCCAGCTAAACAGTGGCCGCAGTCTAGAGGACAGAGGAGACAAGAAAGAAGCTGTGTCTACCTGCAGATTGTTATTCAGGGAATAAACAGTGTTGGAACCACTCTAACGGGAAGCGATTGAGCCTGTATTGCAAGCCCTGCCACTAGGGGACGCACTGCAGGTCAGCATTGGCCAGGAGCAAGAGGGAATCCAGTCTGTGACTTACTCTCAACCATCTCCATCCCTAACTTTGTAAAACCTGGCTGAGCCCTTGACTCTCTCAGCCTGTTTCCTCCTCTGAAGAGAGCAGTACTGTTGTCTCACAGGTGCCTGTGGGCCTCGAGTAAAGCGAGGCTTGCTGTAAAATTCAGAGCTGCGTAAGACAGCAAGGCTTACGCCAGATGTGGTGGTGCCCGTGTGCCTGTAATCCTGAAATCATGCGGAGGCATGAGGGTCCTGGGATGGAGACTAGCCTGTCTTGAGGAAAGGAGAGGAGGCGAGGCAAGGTCTACAGCTGCAATGGCGGAGAATTAGCTTAGCAGTTACTGGGGAGACTTCTGAGAATTCTTTGCCCTCGAGCGACATGTTCCAAATTTTGAGCCAACAGGAAAGGGCTCAGGAAAACAACCACCACCCAAAACAAACAAATAGGAAAAATCTCTGCAGGCGTGAAAGCCAGATGGTGAGTCTCCTGCTATCTATTACTCAGTCCCATTTTAGAGGAAAGCCTGCTGAGTCGTGTGGTGGGTGAGCTGTGAGGGAATGGGGATGGTTAAGTCCCCTTCCTCTACTGAGTCCCAAACACCATAGACCAGAGAACTGCAGAGCACCTGAGTAAAGACGCACTGGCTACTCCGCATGACGTCACTGCTGCCCAGGAAGCCTCGAGGTCACGTGGAGGTGGCACAATGCAGAGACTAACTGTTGCTGCCTTGGGTTCAGCCTCTCTCCCCTGCCCTGCTGGCTCTGGGTTCCAGGAAGATTCTGGATCCTCAGTGAGCCTTAATTTCCCACATTGTGAAAGCAACACCTTGAGCAACACCCCAAACTAACACACTCACAGGACAGAAAACTGAGCAGTGAACACGGCGCCTAGTGGGAAGCCAGAACTCAACTCAGGTTCCCACTGCTGAAGGCTCAGTGTAGACCAGTCTGGGGAAGAAAAGTCCTAGGCGAACCCAGTCTTAGAGGATCCCCCCCGCCTTCTTACCTTCAGAGGTCAACTAGGTTTGCTTGGAGAGTTATAAAGAAAATCTCTTATTCTTGTGTCTCCACCAGGAAGAAAGGAAGTACTCACAAGTACTGTGAGCCTTCTCAACAAGGTCTGCTCTCCCTGAGTTCACCTACAGGTCTTTAGAGCCTCCCTGGCCCAGGGGAAGGGAATGCTCTGTCCAGTCACCTGAGCCAGCCCATCCTACCACATGAGAAACACTACTGATGTCCACAGCCCCCCACAAGAACCCCCACCTTTTACCATCACGTGGCCACAGTCTTGCTTATCCAGAGCTCTGCATTTTACCCAGAACGTTATGTCTGGTGGTTAAGAAAACAATGTAAGACAATTATAATGCATCTACAAGGAAAACAACACCCACACATGAGCACAGTTTTTGTTCTGTTTTTAAAGAACTCAGGTACTGCATGAATGGTGGGATTATTGGACATGGGATGGGAAAATAACTGTGATTGTGATGTGAAGTGCTCTAATGGACAGAGTGGAAAGCACACAAGCACCGAAGGGCCGTGTGAGCAGAGAGAGGAAAGTCTGAGAGAACCATCTGGAAATGGTTCTCACTGTGAAACTAACCTTCAAAACCGAAGAGAAGTACATCATCAGATGAACAAAGGTGGAGAGGACTTTATTGATAGGCCCTTGCAAGAAACTCTAAAAGAAGAAGCCGTTTGGAGAAAAGAAAGGTTATCTATGCCGGAAAGTGAGCTCTCCATGGAGGGGGAAACACAGCAGAAAAAAGGTGAGCGGGGATAATAGCCTTCACTTTTTTTAATTAATTGATCTAATATTAAATTTTTTAAATTTGTTCAAAATCAGAACAACAATATATTCAGTTATGTAGCACACAATGTATGAGGGGACACCATCATGCACCAATGACACAGAGGATGAGAGAGAGTTAACGGGATTCTTCTGCTGTGTCACAAAAACCCTCAAGACAGATAGTGTGATCTGAAAGTGACTGTGCATTAGTTATAAATGTGCAAAGTCTGGGACAAGCACTTAAAAAAAGAAGGAAAGATGGGTAAGAAGGAAAAATGGGTTAAAAGTGGAGGAAGTGGAATCAGAAAAGAACACTCAGTGTTGGGGACCGACTGGAGCTCTCAGGTAAGTATGCACAAGGCCCTGGTTCTGTTCCCAGCAGGAAAGAAGGAAGGGAAGGAAGCTGGGTGGGAGAGGGGAGGGAGGGAGGGAGGGAGGGGAGGACAGAGGGAGGGAAGGCCAGTTAAAAACCATAAGAACAGACAGATGGAAGGGAAATGGGCACAAAGATCAAGGGGTGACACACAGAAAACATCTAAGCAAAAGTTGTCAGAATGGATCAAAAAAGTAGACCAGCTGTAAGATATCTAAAGAAACCTAATTTAAATATAAAAATACACATCGTTAAAAATAAACGGATGGGATTTGCCGTGTTGATGCTAATTCTAAAAAGCTAGAGCAGCTTTCAGACAGATCTGACTTCAGAGCGAGGAATGGAAGCTGTCACGGAGAAGGAGGGGCGTTACATAGAGACAGAGGGGCCAGTTCTCCAAGGGCATGTAACAACCCTAAGGCATTAGCACCTAACAACAGAACCATACTGCATATGAGAGTGGCTAGGAAAAATACACAAATCCACCACCACTGTCAAAGACCGCCATATACACTTCTCAAAAACAGACTCAAGAAATGGACCCATCAGTCAGCATACAAACCAGTAAGAATGTGGTTGAACCAGGAGGAGGAGGAGGCACAGTTTACAAAACATAGTGAAGATGTAAGTGAATGCAACTGCATCGTAAACTGGACCTGAGTGACAGCTGTCTACCTCACCAGCAGGACACAGTCTCTTCTCACATTGACATGGTGCCTCCTCCGAGACAGATCGTAGTCTAGTCACACAACAACACGCCTATATAAACGTAAAGGAATAAAGATCAGAGGGTGGGGAGCTAGCTCAATGAGTAAGAGCACTGGGTGTGCAAGCATCCAGGATTTTAGCTCTCTAGCACCCACATTAAAAAGCCAGACATGGCCACACAAGCCTATAACCCCAACCCTGGGGTGGAAGGTGAGACAGAAGTGATGTGGAATATTAGTTGAAGCTGTGTTACACTTGTTTATGCTGTGGAGCATTTGTTTAATGATGCAAAGATGTGTTGCATTCCTTTATGTTGCATTTGTTTAACTAAGTGAAGCTGTGTTACTGTGCCTGTCTAAAGCATCTGATTGGTTTAATAAAGAGCTGAATGGTCCTCTCATCTCC